AGGTTAATTTGAAGAAGGGCTCTCCTGACTCCCGGCAGCCCAGGTGGACTTTACGCAGAAGACCATTCCTGCCTCCGTTAGTGTCTGTACTCTAATTGCTGAGAGGCCAGTCTTTGGCGTCTGTAGGGGTCTTCTGAGACGCCCGACAACCTAGGCAGGGGATCTTCAGAGCGAGCAGACACTGGCTTCTCCCTCCTAGTCACTGTAAGTGGGGCTATTTGCCTCTGCTTTTAGGGAGCTATGTTGGTGGCTTCTAGGGATCCCTGGCCCATCACCCGTCTAGCTGTGGCTTTTCTTCTCCCTCACACTCCCATCTTCCTTTCAAATTCTTCTGGAGTTTCACTAGTGGCTTAATCATTACTCCCCAAAACGGGAGCATTCTAGGCTCTCTCCCCTCCCCCAACACCCCCATGATGCCTCCTTCTCTGAACCACAACTCAGATGCTACAGAGACATATACAACGTTCTGGTTAATTCTGCAGCCAGAATGCCACTGCGATGGCTCCACCTCAGGTCTTTGACCACAAGGGCCTTGCTCCAGTTCACAGAACATGCCATGGAGAATAAGTCTAGTTAAGGGCGTATGGTGGTGTGAATGAGGATGGGCCCCATAGACTCATATATTGGAATACTTGGTCCCCGGGGAGTGCAGCTGTTTGGGAAGGATTGGGGAGTGTGGTCCTGTGAGAAGAGGTGTGTCACGGGAAGCAGGCTTTGAAGTTTCCAAAGCCCATACAATTTCTAAGTCGCTTACTCTATGCCTTGTGCTTGTGGGTCCAGAAATAAGCTCTCAGCTACTGCTCTACCAACATGCAGGCCTCCCTGCCACCGTGTCTCTGCCATGATGGTAAGGACTCACCCTCGGAAACGATAAGCCCCTAGGAAACTCTAAGTTGCCTTGGTCATGGTGTTCTGTCACGGCAACAGAAAAGTAACTAAGACAGGGTGTTCACCAAGGCTTCACTGTGGAGAGCTCAATGTACTGCCGACATTCCTTTCAGAAACAGTTCTCACTCTTCCGGCTGTCCCCGTGGAAACGGCCCTGGTCCTGCTGAGCAGGACCCCTTTTGATGGTCAAGGAACGTGACACATAAAGTTCTACATAGTTACTCTGCCCTAGGTCAACTCTCAGAAGGTCCTCAAACTTCAGAACTCCCTGTACGGTCAGAACACATCACGAAGTCTGCCCTAGAGCTCAGCTTCTCTCTGCCTGAGCCTGCTGCCTCTCCACTCCTTCCTGACATCACGACTTCCTAAGTTCACCCTCACCCTGGAGTCTGTGTCCCAGGCTGTAGATACGACGATGACATGCAGGGTTTGTTCAATGCAGTGATATGCTCATCTCTTAAAACAGAGCAAGGGGGAGGGGAGCGAGGGTGGGGAGTGAGAGGAGGGCGCAGAACTCTCCCGCTCCCACCGGGATGAGGGAATACACCAAGTAAGCAGAGGCTATGAGCCGGGACTTCAGTCTCAGTGAATTTCTTCTTCTTGGATGTTGGAGTTGGGTAGAAAGCTTTGGGGGGGGGGCAGACAAACCCCTAGGAGCCCCTTCTCAACTGTCCATTTCCAACCTAGTAGAGATGGAGCATGCAAACCCATGTTACTCCCGTGAAATGTATGGAATATTCATTAATTCCATTTCTATCCCCAAATGCATAATTTTGTCTGAAATCTGTCATACTTTATTACTTCCCCCCAATAAGCAAGTGCTTATCAGTTGTCCAAATTTTGAGAAAATTCTTAAGGGGAAAGCTTCAAGCTTTCCCTGGTGGTTAATCCTTTTTCAAAACAGGGGAAAGACAGCCACAGTTTAGCTTTCATCAGAGCCCCTGAAAGCAGCCTGTGGGGAGGGGGAGCTGAGTCTCAGGCTGCTTCTGCAGAGGGGCTCTACCCACCTACTGTCCTGGCCTTGGCGATGTCATGCCTGTAAGGTTAGACTTCCAAGGCGGTAATGAGAAGAATATCTACTCCACACAGAAATGCTTTCTGTGCCCCTTAAAGTCCCTCCGACCTGAAGAGCACACTGCTGCTAAGACACCCAAGTGCTTATAAGAACGAGCTTGTGCAAGCCTCTCAAACAGAGAACCCATCTTAGGAAAGAAAACACAGTTTTCAAGAAATGAAGTACCTTGGGAGCCAGAGAGATGGCTCAGTAGTTAAGAGCACATATTGCTCTTGCAGAGGACTGGAGTTCAGTTCCCAGTACCCACACTGGGAGGCTCACAATTGTCTGTAACTCCAACTCCAGGAGGACCTGATGCCTCTGGCCTCTACGGGCACCAGCACACATGTGTACATACTCATCCACAGATACACATTCAGACATATCATTCAAAATAATCTTTAAAAAAAAAATGAAGCAACTCCCCGCATGCAGCCCCTATTTCCAAGGCATCTGTCTACACTGCTACATGATTCCATTTGGAGGCATGCCTGTTGCCTCCAAATTGAACCAAGGGAGAGGAAAGTGGCAAAGCATACAGAGACACCTGGAGAGCGAGGCAGGACTAGGGCATATGGCAGACTTCTGCACGGATGTGGATGCTGGGTCCCAGTTTTGAGAAGGCCTGTTCTGGCTGGGAGGTACCACTTGATGCTAGGCACAGCACTGTGTCATGAGTCTGCAGCTATCAGACCCCAATTCCAGTCATTTTTGTAGGGAGACAGAAGGCCAAAGACTCCTGCAGGCAATCCAAGGTGAGTCACAGGGACACCAGGAGGATGTAGCTGGCCACTTCCCTTCTCATGACAAATGGCAAGATCTGTGGTATTCCATAGCTGCTGGCTGTGTTCCTTGATTACCATAGCCGATTCTGGTCATTCCTCTAACTGGCACTTTCTCTGTGGTTTGCACTTTAAATGCTAGCAAGACTAGCCTGCAGTACAGAAGGGTCAAGTATCTAGGTCTGGTGCCCAACAAGGCCACTATGGAGGGTCATCTGCTAGGAGAACTGGGGTTGACTTGGTAATGTTTCATAGCCTATCTGTGACTGCCAGAATCACCATAGTTCCCAAGAAAGACTCAGGAGTTCCCTGCTTTTAGATAACAAATTCTTTCAGCTGCTCTCTCCTGGAAATCTCTACCATGTGGGGACTATAACAGGACACTCCCCCAAGTGAGAAATGGTTCCTTGTCTAGCACATACTTCAGCTGTGTGCATCTGCTACCTTGAACCACACAGTATGACTCTGGTGGTCAAGATGCTCCGTCTCATAAACACAGTCAGCTGCCACGTGTCCTTCCATGTAAGGCCTTCGTGGTTTCACCACGTGGATGCGCTTCCCTCTACCCTGGCCCCAGTCCTCCAGCCCTCCTCACAGGACATACTTTTTGGTCCTTTGATCATCTTTATTGCCTCTCTTTGGATGCTGGCCCGGTCCACATCCTTTGTGAGGTGCATTGACCTATCCAGAGCATTCACTATCATGAGCATGGAGAAGTGGATATCCAACTTCCTGGTCCTCCCATGCCACGTGCGCTTCCTTCTGACACTCCTGGGTCATGTTGTTTCCGGAGGCCTGCTCCATCTAGGAGACTCCTGTGGAGCATGGTGACCTGGCCCAAAGAGTGACATGTGGGCTGACCTGGATGCCAATGCCTTGGCCCAGAGAAGCCTCCTCATTTGTAAGCTTGGAGAGTCTTGGCACCTTTGGGATACACACTGGGGAGGAAGGACAGAAAGCCTTCTGCTCTCTGACTCCTTGCTGGCCCTTGTAAGCATTGTTTCTCCTTTGAGGACCTCCCCACTTCTTTCCTCTACCCAGAATCCAGAACCCAATAACTGTCATGTGTAATGCCACAGAGCAGAAAGGTGGCCCAGGCTGGGAATCAACTGTACCCTTGTCAGGGCAGGGGCAGGGCTTAGTTCAGCTCTTTTGGCTCAGTTTCCTCTTCTGATGTCTGTTGATTCCCAGACCTTAGCCAGGACAGCCTGCTTCCCAGTCAGCTGAACACTCATTTCCCCTATGAATCATTTCAGAAATTGAAAATCCACTACTGGATGACTGGCATTCTGGGCATCCATCTTCTGCCCACCTACTACTCCTGGCTCAGGACTTCCATGCAGAGTAGGGGTCAGAGGTCGAGTTTGGCCAGAGCCCAACACCTCCAGCTGTAGCCACGCAGCACCGAGGGCAGGCGCTCCTAGTTTTCTGAGTGCAGGCTATCAGCTGGCTGTCTCTTAAAGAACATTCTCTGTTCATTAAAGGCAAAAACCACACGCCATCACCGTGGTCTAAGAATAAATTCCCTATAGGGAAACACCTCATTTTAATTCCTCAAGCATAAGCCCTTTTGTTCTCTCTTTTAAAAGATTTCCATCCAGAAATATTTTTTGCACATGCAAGCAAAAAATAAAAATCCCACTGCCCCCTTAGCACAAATGGCTGCACGCACTGTGATTCTGCACCTGGAAACTTTCATTTAAACTTTATCACAAAGACCTTTCCATGTAAGAAAGCCTTGTAGACCACACACACATGCATTTCTTGGAGGCTCGATTTTGGTTGCCTGCTCCAATGCATGCCACCTCATCATGCTTTTCCTGTCCCCTGGTTACTACTACTCAGGACTGTGAAGGTCACTGCAAAGTGTGGTTCATACACAGGACAATTCCCAGTGGTGGAGAGCCAGAAAGAATGGCTTTGAATTTGTGAGCTTGGGGAGCCTCCTGGAGGCCATGTCTCTAAACATGCAGCCCATGGGCTCTGTTTTGGTTAGTGGAAAGAGCGTTTCTGCAAATCCTGGGCAATGCTCCCTCCCAGGAAGGAGTGGAGACGGTGGCCCTCTGCTGGTGTTCTGAAGGGACCCAGTCCCTGGGTCTCCTACAGAAACACAGTTTTTGATGCTACATAATCAAGCCCATTGTACTGCCAACGTCACCTCGAAGGTGCCCATCTCACTAACAGGTGGAAGCTCCATCTCACAGCATAGGCCAGAGCTAACCTGCCCAGCAGCCGGCACAGGGAACAGTGACGGCATTCACAACAGTCTTTCCTACCTTCGATCATTTCTCCTCCTCCGAAACAGCTTCTTGGTGTGTGCGATCTCCACTTCATGGGGCATCGGGTGGTAGCCCTGTGACATGGAGAGAGAGAGAGAGGACATGAATCATTTTGGTCCAAGACCCCATTTACCCTGACAATACCCAATGAAGGACATGAGAGGCTGGATTCTGGCCACCAAATCAGACCAGAAAATGGAAAATCATCAGAATGAATGAATCTCCCAACAAGGGTGGATGCTAAGATTCCAGACTCAAAGAATAGGGGGACCAGAAGGAGCCCTCAGAAGTCATCATGTCCAAGCTCTCAAATATGGAGGTTGTTCAGGCCAAGGTCTTGCAGAGAAGGATGGTAGAGTCAAGGCCACCAATGCCTCCCCCTCCTTCTCCTTGGTTAGGAGCTGGTTCCATGAAAATAGACCAGGGGGCCTTTCCTGTGGAGTCCCAAGCCAGAGAGCTAAGGGTTCCCTGTCACCGGTAAGGGTCAGGTACATAGCCAATGGCTGTAGGAAGGGGACAGGTTCTTTTTCCAATCTCCAGTCAGAAATGTTGCCACCTTCTGCTGTCAGTCATTAAGAGAACTGGAGATGACTGTGCCCAGCTCAGCCTTGAGCACAAGCTGACTCCTGATCCTAGGCCCAAATCCCCCATGCAATTTTACCCTTCCTTTACCTTGGAAGTATTTATGGAAAACATGCAAAGAACTAATTGTCTTCTAGACTTCAAAGGAGGGCCTGGGGGAAATTCTAAGGGTGGCTTTTACGTACTGTCCTTATGACAGTTCCTTGTAGACTGACGTCAAGGTTGGGGAGAGACCTGCTTATATGCAACAGCAGTCCTACCAAATGCTAGGCCCAGGCAGAATTACTTGCAGAAGCTAGTCTGCACACCTGACAGGCAAATGTGTCCAGAAACACTGTCATTCCATCCTGGGCAGCTGGAATGGAGTAGCCAAGATCTAGGATTGGAAATCCAAGGAGAAGAGTCCCCGCCGGGAGCCTGGGATACCTGAGATTCCTACAGGTTCTCATATTGCGTAGGCATAAACAAGATGAGGGAGGAGCCACAGACCCAGGTGTCCTGGAGAGTGGTAAGAGGGGGTCCATTGGGCCCCAAGCTCCACTTGGCAGTCAGGGAGAGCAAGGCCCAGAGAGGTCAAACAATGAGAGAGTCTGCAGATCCCTTCACTAGGACTCTCCAGAGAGGGCCTCCCTTAGTCAGCCTTCACAGGGCAAGGCGGAGGACATTGGTGGCCCTGGCTGTTCTCAGACTGGCTGGTTTGTTGGAGCTTCCCAGAGGTGACGGGAGGACACTCCGAGGGTCAGGCGGACATGGGATCTTGGAGTTATGGTTATTTGGCCCAGACTTCTATTAAGTCCGGGGAGCAAAAGCCATTTAAAACTATTTTAATGATGGCCCTTCCCTCCCACTCCCGGTCTTTCTAGCCTCCAACAATCTAGCCAAAAATGTGTGAATGGATTCCAGGCTCCAGGCGGCCACAATGGGCCGCTGGGACCTTCAGGATGTGCTTTGTTTAATGGGTTTTTCAAAGGATATTATTTGTTTTCTTTAATATAAAACACAAATAAGGAAAAACACCAAGTCTTCCCCTCTCACTTCCCCTCTCCCACCCTGACCAGGTTCTGGCCAGTCCTTCCTCTTCTTCTTCTTCTTCCCTCCCTCCCTTCCTGCCTCACTCTAGGCCTCTCCAGGTCACCGTTGGAACACACTGGGCGTGCCCCCAATAGACAATGGCCAGGAAGCTGAGACTCCCTCCCAAGCTGGTGCTGAGCTGGCAGCAGCCCAGGCTCTCAGCTCAGGGCTGACAGATGGAGCTGCCCGCAGTGGTATAACATGAGCAAGGAGGTGCCAACCTCTTCAGTCCCGCCGCAGAGTTCTGGGACCGAATGCATACCCAGGCCTCTCCCCACCCAGGCAGCAGCTGTGGGGAGTTGTCCTTTCGTTCATTCCCAGGACTAGAGGGGACCATGTATCGTCAAGGAAAAGTCTCCCTCAGTCACTTCATCCCAAGGAACAGCTCACCTGAACTGTGGCCCCTGAGATAGGGCTGGGAGAGTGGTATGTCCCAGAAGGGGCACCCAAGGACGGAAGTAATGAGTGAAGGGTCTGGAGGGGGTGTTGGTTATTATTCTGGCAGTTTGGTCAGTACAGGGGGGGTTCTGGCTTCAGACCAGAGATGCATCTGCTTTTCAGAAAAGATCTCTTCCCCTGGAGGAGACTGAGTTTCGCCAGGCTCTCAGAGCATCCTTGAGAACACCCGTGGGCTTGGTGCTAACGGTTTGCTCAGCAAATCTGTTTGCTCCTCTCCAAGCAAGAGAACCAGCCTTCAGTTCTCTCAGGTAGTCACCTGAAGAGAAGTCACTCTTCATGGACATGGCCAGATGGCTGGAGGTGTGCCTCTGAGGTGTCACCCTGGACACAGACTGCCACCAGGTTCTGCCTACTCTTCCTCAACTCCTTTCCGGGAGACCATTTTCCCTTTGGCTTTGAGACCTGGCTACATTCCCCCAATATCTAACCCCTGACCTTGTGGACCTTGACCTGTGTGAGCCTTGGAGACAAGCCACCCACAGAAATCAAGCTTCTTTAGGGAAGGAGGGAGGGAGGGCAGGTAAAGAATCCTTGTACACACAGTGCCGGTAGAGCACACGTGAGACATGCACATGCATCTTTTCAAACACACATATCCCTGTGCTGAAGGCAGTGCAAGGGTAAGACGCTCCCTAAGTGATAGAGCATTGTTTGTGTGGTTGCAAAAACACGTCCATTCTGGGGTAGGCTTGGGGTGGGGGATCACACACCTAGTGTACTGGTTAGTTTTTATTGTCAACTCGGCACAACCTATTCACCTGGAAAAAGGTGACCCCAATTAAAGAATCGCCCCCATGAAAGTGACTTATAGCCATGTCTGTGAGAAACCATCTTGACTGATGATTGGTGTGGGAGAGCCCGGGCCGCTGTGGGCAGCACAATCTCTTGGCAGGTGGGGTTAGGCAGTATAAGAAAGGTAGCAGAGAGCAAGTCAGTAAGCAGTGTTCCTCCATGGTCTCCGCTTCAGTTCCTGTCCTGACTTCCCTCAGAGAGGGACTATGATGTAGAAGTCTAAGCTGAAAGACTTTACCCTCCAAGTTGTTTTTGGTCATGGTGTTTATCACAGCAACAGAAATCAAACTACAACACCTAGGATGGTGGGTGTCTCTGGGGGTCAAGGACAGGCCCAGCACTTCGGCCTCAGAGAGTGAACGGGCCTAGGCTGGAGTGCCAGGGCCATGGCCTGAACTGATGGCTATGAAGAAACCTATCATGCATCTGTGGGTGACAACTCAGGGGGCAGAGCAGACACTCTGGGTGAAAAGCAGGTATCCTGGGAACTCTGAGAGCAGCTGCCACTGTGATGAGAGTCAAACCTCCAGAGCCACAGGTACTAAAACAAAACAACAAAACAAAACAACCCAACCCTGCTGTGGGATGTTCTGTATGTCAAATGTGTTGCTGATTAGTCAATAATTAAAACACTGATTGGCCATTGGCTAGGCAGGAAGTGTAGGTGGGACAAGGAGGAGAATAAAGCTGGGAAGTGGAAGGCTGAGTCAGAGAGACACTGCCAGCCGCCACGATGAGAAACAGCATGTGAAGATGCCGGTAAGCCACGAGCCATGTGGCAAGGTATAGATTTATAAAAATGGATTAATTTAAGCTGAAAGAACAGTTAGCAAGAAGCCTGCCATGGCCATACAGTTTGAAACCAATACAAGTCTCTGTGTTTACTTGGTCGGGTCTGACGGCTGTGGGACTGGCAGGTGAGAGAGATTTGCCCTGACTGTGGGCCAGGCAGGAAAACTCCAGCTACAAATGGCGTCCAACGTGGTGGCAAGAGTTTCCACCTAAAAACTGAGAAAAAAGATTCTAAAACGGAGCCAAAAACAGCTTCCTAATTGTCTCTCCCAAATGAGCAGCAGCTGCTGGTTTGAGCTACTGGTGGGTTCTCAGTGTGCGAGCTTGACCTGCAGTATGGCGGGAATGAGGCCTCTGCAAGTGGCACATTAAGCTGCATGGTGGATTTAGCCTTTGCTAGTGCAAAACAACAAAAAAAAGAGGTTTCTGGGCTACACGCTGCTTGGCTAAAAGCATAGACCCCCGATAGCTCCCAGAGCTGGCGGTAAACCATGGCCATGTTGGGAAGCTGAGGTGGGTGGATCCAGCAGCCACAGCTGCTGCAGTTTAAGGCAATAGATTCACAATAAGACAGATTCAGATGTAATAGTTTACAATGTGTGTAAAAGATACGTAGGCTTGAAAGAGACAAAAAAGATGATATATAGAGTTATAGAAATAAATACATAGTTTTAAAAAATAAAGTCTTTAAAGAGACAGTAAAGGTAGTATAAAAAATAAGCCACGTAAAAATGGATATTACACAGAGAATCTGCATTGTGTTGTCTTTGGGACTTTTAACTGCAGAAAAATATTTGATTGTAAAAGCTGTTGAGTTATGCCAAAATGTATATTTTAAAGGTATCTTGACTTCAAAATTTGAATATAAGGATATGTTACTTTGGAAAGGAGACTCTGCTTTTGTTCCCACAGAAAGCCAGAGGCTATGGATTTGTTCCAGATTAAGACACATCAGGTTTGACCAGCCAAGACCCCCTGAAAGGTCTCCGATGACACCATGGTCCAGATGATCCAACATCCAGAATGGTTTGAAGGCAACTGGCTCAGACGATACACCCTCATGGACTTTTCCATGATCCTAAAATTTTCTTTGTATCCCCATAAGATACAGCGCCCCCCTCCAGCAGGAAGTAGTAAGAGAAGCTACGCCCAAATTCCCAAATTATATGTAATTTTACTTTGTTAAGGTTAAAACCTTCCTTTTTTTTTTTTAAAAAAAAGGGGGGAAGTGCTGTGGGATGTTCTGTATGTCAAATGTGTTGCTGATTAGTCAATAATTAAAACACTGATTGGCCATTGGCTAGGCAGGAAGTGTAGGCGGGACAAGGAGGAGAATAAAGCTGGGAAGTGGAAGGCTGAGTCAGAGAGACACTGCCAG